CATACATAGTGTCTTCACTCTACAATCTGCTTTCCTTCTAAGAACTTCTTATTCTGGTCTCATACTGCACTTGGACTTTTTACAGAGCTTCACATCTGATTATAGCTCCTGAGGTTATAGAAACAAATTTTATTAAAATTTGTCTCCAGCCTGACTCGAACCATTAATCTAGTCTGTGGGGGTTTGAAAGCTTAACCAATAAGCTATAGAACCCAAACCCAGATATATAAATGATATAATTAGATTAGAATAAATATAAATAGAGATAATAAATAAAGAAAAGTGGTTAGTAATCGTTATAAGAAGAAACTGTATTGTAAAAAAATAAAGTGTTTTAACTATGAAAGTGTTAGTGTGATATTTCTAAAGTAAAAAGAAAGTTTATCTTTAAGTTAGATAACAGAAAACTGAATACTTTATAACCTCATGTTAGAGAAGAACCTGGGCAGTAACTAAAATACTCTTGTAAAGATAAAAGAAAGAGTCAAGAAAATAAACAACATTAGTTTGGATATCAAGAATAATTTAGGAATAAAGAGTATAATCATATATATAACAATCAACAAATAAGAAAATAGGATAAATGCCTTTTGAAAATAATCAACTATGTCAACAAAAAAACTATTTTATTATGGTAATAAAGATGAAGATCTAGAAGATTTCCTTTTTAACTTTGAGATGTATGCCAAATCAAAGCAATGGATAATGATCAAAAGAAGAAGATTGTGGAATTACATGTTTCAGAGAAAGTAAGGATGTGGGTTTATGAATTAATGAAAGTTAGTACAGCATGGACAAACTTGAAAGATATAATGATTAAGGTTACCAAGACTAAGTATACTATAGAAGAAAAAATTGTTAGACTAATATAAATTAAACAGGAGCAAGGTGAATCAGTAACAGAATATACAAATAGATTTAAAATCTGTGTGAAAATCTTGAAGAACAGTATACGAGCATATGAAAAATAAAACTAATACATCACCAGGTTGAGATATAACTATAGATTGAAGATTGAAAATGAACTTTTTAGCTGATTTTGATAAAGCTAAGAATTTAGCTTTAAAGATTGAAGCATCTAGTAAGGACAATAAGTATGATACAAAGAAGGCAGCTAAGATATTGGTTGAAGAATCCAAAGAAGGCAATAGTTTTGATATTGATAGTTTGATAGCTGTGATAAAGAGTTTGAAAATATGTAGAGTCAAGAAGAGAACTAATGAAGATATACAAGAAATAAAAGATGCTATGAAGCAATTAATAAAAGTGCTAGTAGATCTTGTAATCAAGAATTCTTCTCAACAAAAAAAATGATTAGAGTATAGAATCTTCATGATATTTTACATATCAAAAAGAAGATCATATGTTACAAGAATATTCAAAAAAAGCTATGAGAAATCAAGTTGTAGATAAACCTAAGGATTGATAAAGTCATAGTCAAGGTTCAACAAAGAAAATATAGAGCAAAAAGGTCTTGATGTGTGATATGTAGATATAACTGAAACAGTAGTATATAATGAGAAAGAATATCTGGTAGTTGAGTTGGTGAGTAATAAAAGTGATGACTTGAAGGAAAAATTGAACGATATAAGAAATTTTGGCAAAAAAAGATATAAAAACTTGGTAACAAAGTGTCTAACAAGAAAGGAAGATCCCAAAAAGTGGTAAATATAAAATATAAAGAACTATCAGTATCTCTAAAGAAAAAGGGTAAGGCATCAATAATATATATTCTGTTAACTGATTTATTGGAGGACCTTGATATATTAAATCTATGGCTAACCTAAAGTTGGATGTGATACTTGAACAACTATTCAAGTAGTCTTTAAAAATAAGAAATAAGATGATGAGGGCATTAGCAAAAAAAGAAGAAATATGGATGAGATGAATATGGATGTCAGATTGAGGTTTGTTAAAAGAAATCAAGTGCAAGATGTTGGAAATAATAAAGTGTCAATTTGGCCCATGTTGATAAATGATAAATTGGTTAGAATGTCTATTGATCCTAGATTATGGCTAAATTTAATGCATATAAATTATACAAAAAAGAAGAGGATAATTTGGTAGAAAGTATTTGGCAAAGAAAGAATAGCAAATGATCAAGTAAGTGAATTCATCAGATATATTTCTCAAGTAAAAGTAATAATAATACAAAGTTTATATGTTATAGATTCGATGAGTTTTGATGTTCTGTTGGTAATGCCATGGTTGGCTAGTATGCAGTACAATCTTTATTAGAATAGAAATAAATCTTGGTACACAGTATCTTCATTAAATTGAGAGTTATTGTTTATTGTTTCGGTAATGCTATAGAATTGGATCAAACAAAATGATGAAGATAAATTAAGTAATTTTGATAAAGAGAAAGAAGACGAAAGTGATCAAATAATAGCTGTTAGAAGAGTTTAGTTAGTGAGAAATAAAAGGGGCAACTTAAAAATAGATGATGAGAATTTTGTTTTACTGAATAATAGAGTTGAACTATGAGAACAAATGATGGAAGAGATTAAAAGTTAAGCAGAAATTTCAAAACAAGTAAAGTTACAAAAATTAATGGCAGAAAATATATATTCATTAAATTTTAGATCTGATTTGGCAATAAAAAAAAACAATATATAATGAATTAATTGATAAGTAAGATATCGAAGCTATATGCTTTTGATATATCCAAATTGAATCAAACTAGACTTACAGAATATAAGGTGCAAACTAATAATACAGAGATATTATCTATGAGATTTAGGCCAATTCAGATTAATAATTCTGAGAGAGCTCGATTGTTTGAAAAACATTTGAAAGATATAATAAAATATAGATTGTTAAAAGAAAGTAATAGACTCTACACTTATTAATATTTCTCAGTAGATAAAAAAGAAAATAGCACTATTATATACAAGCGGTTTGTAATATAAAGCTATTAAACAAACATATAATCAAAGATAATTATTCACTTCTATTTATAAGGGATATTCTTGAAAAGGTAGCAGAGCATAAATAGTACTCAAGCATCAATGCATTTAAAGGGTATTAGCAGATAGAAATATAAGAGCAAAATTAGAATAAGGTAGCAGTATCAATGATTTTGGGGTTTTACATTATATAGTAATATATATAAAACTTAAGAACGCAAGTAAAACTTTTCAAAGATTAATAGATTTGATCTTAAAAGATAAAAAATAGAAGCAAATAGATGCAGCATATTAGAATTATATTGGGTTGTGGACTAATAGTAATTTAGAACACCACATCAATATTTTTATTAGCTTTTGGATAATAACTGGCCACAAACCATTGATTTGCATTCAAAAGAATTGCTAATTCTGATAATATATTGTCTTTAAATTTAATTTCTCTATCCAAAACTAGAATAGAAAATATCTATATCTTGTAATAACTTCATCCCATATAAATTATGTAATAGAAATCATATTCTTTCTTCTTAAAGCTTTTCCTTCGATATATTCTGTCAATTTTTCAACTGCTAGTATAATATACTTATAACCTCTTGCTATTTTGGGCAATGGCCCTATACAATCAATATATAGTTTGTGAAAAATCCAACTAGTTGGGTCATGTAAATTGGTTTCTTAATCGATTTTAATATATATTTTTGATATTCTATATACAACTTTACATAAATCTTTGTATCTTCATATATATTACCATTTGTATAGCAGTAGTTTATTAGAACTTTTTTGTGATACCATCAATTCTATGATGTCTTTCCTCTTTTGTTGTTCTATAATAATTTGCCATCAAAATTAGATATTTTTCTTTATCATCAAATATCACTTGTCTTGGCAGTACATCATCTTTATCTCTCTTATACAGATACTCATTAATCATACAATAGCATTTCATTTTTTATCGCAATTGTAGTAAATTCACAGTTTTTATATCACATACCCACTCCAAATTTATTAAATACTTTCTTATCCAAAGCAAGTCTTGTTCTCTACTCTCAAACTTACCTACATGTAGAGATAGGAATCTAAACCTTTTTTTTTAAGCCTAAAGGTTTCAGGTTTCACTTATAGTTATCGAAATGTAACTAAAACCCCAAACTGATTTCTAAATCCTAAACTAATATTGAAATTCCAAACCAATACCAATATTCTAAACCTACATTAAAATCTAGTTTTCTCAAAACCTAAATTAATATTAAGAACTTAAACTAATTCTAAACAAATACTGATATTTTTAAAATATTAAAATATATTTTTTATAAAGTTGATATATAATAAAACCTCTATAAATATACTCTTTATAAGTATATATTATCTTTAAAATATATTCAAATTTAGATTCAATAATATAGATA